CAACGTCCATTTTAGAAGGTGCCCGCATGAAAGCCGTTCGAGAAACGCTGGTAGATGTAAGATCAACCAAATCAGAAGAATTTGCTGCAGACCATGCAATTGGCAGTTTCCTGTTTCCTTGTAGATTTCGGAAATTCCTCCTGTTTGGCGAAATATTCAAAAACAACGTAATAAGTAAAAATACAAATAACTGCTCCTTTCTGAGGATTGAATTTAATTGTTTCCATGCCAGATGCGCTTGCGCAATCGAGTTTCCACACTGCGAGTGGTGTTTCTTTGAGGGGCAATGTGTTTCGTGCAGTTCACTGTTCATTGCTGTGCCCAGCTTGCGCCCTGTCACCCTCGCACGCCATGACTAAGTTCCTGCTCCTGGCCCTGACCTTCACCCAGGCTTTGGCGAGCAACAGCACCAATGGCACACTGCGGGGCCGATCCATGGCCTCTTGCGGTGTGGCCGGGGCGGTGGACTGCGGCGTGTGCAAGTGCGTGAGCTCAGGTGTCTGCCAGTGGTGCAACGGCCAAGGCGGGCCCGCCAAGATCGACAGCTCGCCGGCGGTCTCGTCGGGCGGCTCCTCAGGAAGTGCGGCCTCTGGCCTGGTGAATTGTGGTGTGTGCCGCTTGGTGCCACGCAGCACTTGCCAATGGTGCGACGGCAACGGCGGCCCCGCATCCATCACCTCTGCGGGCATGAGGTACTCCCCAATGGCAAGCCTGGCCGCATGCGCCCTGCTGGCCCCAGCGTTGTTTCTGTGAAACCAGCACTGGCTGGCAATGGCAGTAATTCGATGCAAGTTTATGTTTAGACCTTGACCTGCTCTCACCTGCGCAGCCAGAAGGGCTGCGCAGGGTCTTGACCTAGCATGGACAGAGCAATGCGCACGACATTGGCTCATTGACATCGTATCCTATGGCGAGCTTGCAAAAAGTGCAGGCCCAGAGATGATCTATTCCTGTGTGACACTCACAGTTTCATGGCCACTAGCATGTTGAACTACTTTCGGACACTTTTGCGCGGGTTTTGCTTTCGAAGGGAACTCCCACATTGCCCTCGACCCCATTTTGGGCCGTTCCGCCTAAAGGCACACCCATGAGCAAACTGTTTCTTTGCCCGCTTGTCGCTCAGCTGGATTCGCTGACGATATGGGACATCTCCCAAATCAAAACAGGAGGCACATTGCAGGTAGGGATGCCTGCGAGAGTGACCATACTTTTTGATAGATTTTCTTTTTTCGACGTTCGAACTGATCAAGCATCTAGGTGGTGGTTGGTTCCAAGTTCCCATCGCATGTGCAAATAGACATATTTAGGTATGACATGATATATATTTATATATAGATGGCAGACTTTTGAACACTTACCCAGCACTGATATCTCTGGGCATGTCCTATGGATGAGACTGTCCGATGTTGGGCTGCACTTGCTGGAAGTTTATCTGAACTGTCTTCCTTCACTTCACGTCATTGTAGTCGTTTCCCTGCCAGATGCGCTTATGCAATCGACTGTCCACACTGCGAGTGGTGTTTCTTTGAGGGGCAATGTGCTTCGTGCAGTTCACTGTTCATTGCCGTGCCCAGATTGCGCACTGTCGCCCTCGCACGCCATGACTAAGTTCCTGCTCCTGGCCCTGACCTTCACCCAGGCTTTGGCGAGCAACAGCACCAATGGCACACTGCGGGGCCGATCCATGGCCTCTTGCGGTGTGGCCGGGGCGGTGGACTGCGGCGTGTGCAAGTGCGTGAGCTCAGGTGTCTGCCAGTGGTGCAACGGCCAAGGCGGCCCCGCCAAGATCGACAGCTCGCCGGCGGTCTCTTCGGGCGGCTCCTCAGGAAGTGCGGCCTCTGGCCTGGTGAATTGTGGTGTGTGCCGCTTGGTGCCACGCAGCACTTGCCAATGGTGCGACGGCAACGGCGGCCCTGCATCCATCACTTCTGCGGGCATGAGGTACTCCCCAATGGCAAGCCTGGCCGCATGCGCCCTGCTGACCCCAGCGTTGTTTCTTTGAAACCAGCACTGGCTGGCAATGGCAGTAATTCGATGCAAGTTTATGCTTAGACCGAGGCCTTCTCTAACCTGCTCAGCCAGAAGGGCTGCGCAGGGTCTTTCTTTAGCATGGCACAGACCAATGCGCACGACATTGGCTCATTGACATCATAGCCTATGGCGAGCTTGCAAAAAGTGCCGGTTTCAAAGATTTGTTCCTGTGTGCTACTCCCTGTTCATGGCCACTAGCATGTTGAGCTACTTGTGGACACAAATTTGGCTTGCAAGAGCTCAGGTCCTCCCTCCTATTTCTGGTTGGTCCGCCTAGCGGTACTCCCATCCAGGAGCGTGCTGTTTCTTTCTCGCTCGGCTGGATTTGCTGACGATATGGGAAAAATGTCTAAAACAGGAGGGCACAATGTAGGTGCGGATACTTGTTGATGGGGTTCCTTCTTCGACGTGCGAATCAAGCATCTTGGTGATTGGTTCCTTGTTTCCACAAATTGCAAGCCTTCCTGTGCATAATGACCAAAGTATTTCATATATAACTGTATCAACACATATGCGTATACATTTTTACTGGATGAGACTGTTTGACGTTACGCCTTCATGATCTTCCAAACTTGCTGGATGTTTATGGCGATCTTACTTCATTTGTTGTATTATTGTGCGCAAATAGCGATGCCAGATGCCCTTATGATACTTATGCAATCGACTGTCCACACTGCGAGTGGTGTTTCTTTGAGGGGCATTTGTTTCGTGCAGTTCACTGTTCATTGCCCAGATTGCGCCCTTTCGCCTCGCAAGCCATGACCAAGTTCCTGCTCCTGGCCCTGACCTTCACCCAGGCTTTGGCGAGCAACAGCACCAACGGCACACTGCGGGGCCGATCCATGGCCTCTTGCGGTGTGGCCGGGGCGGTGGACTGCGGCGTGTGCAAGTGCGTGAGCTCAGGTGTCTGCCAGTGGTGCAACGGCCAAGGCGGCCCCGCCAAGATCAACAGCTCGCCGGCGGTCTCTTCGGGCGGCTCCTCAGGAAGTGCGGCCTCTGGCCTGGTGAATTGTGGTGTGTGCCGCTTGGTGCCACGCAGCACTTGCCAATGGTGCGACGGCAACGGCGGCCCCGCATCCATCACCTCTGCGGGCATGAGGTACTCCCCAATGGCAAGCCTGGCCGCATGCGCCCTGCTGACCCCAGCGTTGTTTCTTTGAAACCAGCACTGGCTGCAATGGCAGTAATTCGATGCAAGTTTATGCTTAGACCGAGGCCTGCTCTAACCTGCTCAGCCAGAAGGGCTGCGCAGGGTCTTTCTTTAGCATGGCACAGACCAATGCGCACGACATTGGCTCATTGAGGTCATAGCCCATCGCGAGCTTGCAAAAAGTGCCGGTTTCAAAGATTTGTTCCTGTGTGCTACTCCCTGTTCATGGCCACTACACAATTTTGGCTTACAAGAGCTCAGGTCCTTCCCCCTATTTCTGTTTTTTCCTTCTCGCTCGGCTGGATTTGCTGACGATATGGGAAAAATGTCTAAAACAGGAGGGCACATTGTAGGTGCGGATGCTTGTTGATGGGGTTCCTTCTTCGACGCGCCAATCAAGCGTCTGGGTGGTGATGGGTTCCTTGTTCCCACGAATTGCAAGCCTTCCTGCGCATACTGACCAACGTATTTGATATATAACTGTAGCAACACATATATATATATATTATGTATGCATGCATACACATCAGCCTTTTGAACACCTACCCAGACCCAGCACTCAGATCTCTGGCTGAAAGTTTTTGGCAGTGCCTATATATTGTTCATGATATTTTACACTTGCTGGATGATTATGGTGATCTTACTTTGTTTGTTTCATTATTGTGCGGAAATAGAAATGCTAGATGCACTTATGATACTTATGAAATCCAATGTCCACACTGCGAGTGGTGATTCTTGGAGGTGCAATTTGTTTCGTGCAGTTCACTGTTCATTGCCCAGATTGCGCCCTTTCGCCTCGCAAGCCATGACCAAGTTCCTGCTCCTGGCCCTGACCTTCACCCAGGCTTTGGCGAGCAACAGCACCAACGGCACACTGCGGGGCCGATCCATGGCCTCTTGCGGTGTGGCCGGGGCGGTGGACTGCGGCGTGTGCAAGTGCGTGAGCTCAGGTGTCTGCCAGTGGTGCAACGGCCAAGGCGGCCCCGCCAAGATCGACAGCTCGCCGGCGGTCTCGTCGGGCGGCTCCTCAGGAAGTGCGGCCTCTGGCCTGGTGAATTGTGGTGTGTGCCGCTCGGTGCCACGCAGCAGTTGCCAATGGTGCGACGGCAACGGCGGCCCCGCATCCATCACCTCTGCGGGCATGAGGTACTCCCCAATGGCAAGCCTGGCTGCATGCGCCCTGCTGGCCCCAGCGTTGTTTCTTTGAAACCAGCACTGGCTGGCAATGGCAGTAATTCGATGCAAGTTTATGCTTAGACCAAGACCTGCCCCAATCTGCTCAGCCAAAAGGGCTGGGCAGGGCTCTGCAAGGAGCAGTGTTTGTTAAGCTTTGCAAAGCTTTCTGTGCCAGTGTCTCAGAGGTCTTTCTCTAGCATGGCGCAGAGCAATGCGCACGACATTGACATCATAGCCTGTTTCGAGTCAGCTGACAAAAAGCGGAATGTCATACGGACACCTAGCAAACAAAGCAATATCCATATTTTCGATAATTTGGACATGATGGAAATACCTGTTTTGTCTTTGTTCGCATGATGTTGTTGTTTTGTTGATGGAGTTGACCTCGAACACTTCACTGACGCTTTCAATGAGGGTACTGACTGCTGAAAACCTGGGTGCTTGATGGTGTGAAGGGACTGACACATGCCACATGAAAGCAATAATGAAAGGTCCTGCTTTGTTGGGCCTGGCAGGTTGCACTTTCAAGCACCGGGCAAGACTCTGAATCCATTGGTTCAGCCGCATTTGTTCTGCTGGTTTTCATTTGTTGGGCCCCAGAAATTGCCAACCCAAACAAGGTCCCCACGTTCTTTCTGGCCAGGCCCGGCTGCTGGTGGCTCAGAGGGAGCATGCTGCAGAGGTGCGAGCGCTTGAGGCTAAGGCGGGGATGGCTGAGTCACCCCGAAAAAAGGGCAAGTGGTCAGGTACCACTCAGTTGCTTCGGATTGGTGATTTGGATTTAGTGATTTGGATTGGAACCCCTAGATCTTGTAAGGGGATCCCACTCGCCAACCACCAAACCACCGATCCAACTCACCAATTAGAAGGAAGCTGAAGTAGCACTTCAGAAGTTGTGCAAGCTTGGTGACCGTGAGGATAGTCTGTGATTGCGAGCTAGTCCCACAAATGTCCAAAGCCTTCAGGGAAAAGTCTTTGCTGCGACAAACTTCGCAGCTCACGACCACGGCAGAGTCCGAATGTGACAGAAGTTCTGCAACCTTGCAGAATTACTCCATCAGTGTTATATAATTGAACTCGGGGAGAATGTGTGTGCCATGTCTCAGGGCTATCAACTCAACGCATGGGCTCTCGAGTTGGAAGGTTTCCACGATGCCGCTGACCCCTTGCTTCAAGCAACCGTGTCTTGAAACATCTTACTTTGTCAATGGTGCTTGCGTACTCAACTGACATACCTGCACTCTGAAGCCCTGAAGATGAAAGTCCAAAGCGTGATGCCATGTTGGCAGCAGTCTCGACTTTCCCCAACCCTGTCCCAAAAGAGACAACTAAGGAACGCCCACACTTCTGGTACCCCAAGCAGCTCTGAACAGAGTGTGCCCATTCCTGGATAAAGGTGTTCTGTGTGTGTTTGTGTCCGGTGTGTTTGTGTTGAGTCCTGTGTTGTACTCAAGGGTGAGGCTACGTTGCAAGACCGCAATAGTTTTAGGTTAGTCTACCTGGGGTGTTCCATTCGGGTCATTCCCGTGTTCATTTTAGTTTTGGCACATTTTCTCAAAGGCCTCCTCTGAACGTTCGTGCGTTACATCATCTATAATTTCACCCCTTAGACATGACCATGGTGCAACATTGCATCTTTCCGTCTATTTTTGTGTGTGCGTGTCCCAAAAGTGATGCGGAAGCCAGAAAGACATCTAAATACCAGAAACAAACTATGATTGTCCCGCTAAAAAAAATAACAACCAACAAGCCACACAAAGTACATATATATATATAATGTATATCTAGAAATATACATATATATATGTTTTGAATTGTTAAATACAGTCGAGGTGTTGCTCAGAAGTGGTGGACATATCAACATCTTGATCATGCTGTATGAGTACAATTGCCGGAAAGGCCAGCATCGCCGAAACCGAGCTGCGTGCGGCAACCGCCAAAGCACTCGCTGATGCGGAGTGGGCGGTGAAGCAAGCGGAGAGGCACGGGTTGAAGTAAGAAGCGTATCATTCGTCCAGGTGGACTTCCCCCATTCTTTCTGGGGTCCTTCTTGGTGAAATTGGTTGAAACTCTGGAACATGGGTGTTTTTCAAAATAGTGATGGCGAAAGGGATGAATTCTCAGTTCTCAATTTGTACCCGTAGAATTCCTAGTGCTTGCACAGGTGCAGCCATCACCTAGAACCTCAACATCAAACACCTGGTTGCCTTTGTATGGGGTGCTTTTGAAGGGATATGATTCCTCAGATGTGGCTGGATGGATGGCTTCCTTCACTCCACACACGCCAGTCTCCACTGGGTCATGTGTGCAGTTTTTGACGCATCCTGGCCTGCATTTGCTGCCTTTTTGGTTGCGCAAGAAGGGGCCCTGGTCTTTATTTGGCAGCGCGAATGGCATGCCGTTCCGCCGACCATTCACAAAACATGGGCACACCGAGTCCATTCCCTCGATCGCATTCCTTTGGAACTCTTCCAGGTCTTCGACTTTTGTTGGTCAACTTGTTGACGCCCTGTGTCACGGAAGCCTTGTAACAGTAGCGGCGGTTGGCATCAGTGACTCGGATCTCGTTGTAGCAATGTCGTGCATGACTGCGATTGCCAACTTGTCACGTTGTTTGGCGCATTGTTGCAGGGGTGGAAGGTTCTTGAAGGCTCTTTCGGATTGCCTTGCGCATGCCTAGCTGCCTAGCTAGTTCGTCCATGTTTGGTTTCTCAGACACGGAAACCAAATAGGATGGATGGACGATCTTTGAGTTTCTGCCGCATAAACTCGGAAGCCAGTGGCACCTCCGTTTGCTCGGAGGGTTGGTCATCTATATCGGGTGGATTCTGCAGTGAAGCGACTTGTGATTTGCCTACATTGCCAGGCTAGATGCGAAGCAATTTGGCCTTACCATGGCTTTATTGAGACACAATGGCTATGACACAAACGGCCAGGCTGATTTCAGAACTGAACCATGCTTCCAACGGATATACTGTCGTTATCTTTGGGATCACCTGGGAATAGAGCCTTGAAATTGCATTCGTATGTTTCTCAGATGCTCAAAAGAGTCAACTGTTGCATTTGTTGATCCAAACATTTGGACTGTTGTTTAGGATGCCTGAGAGGTTGGACACATGACACATGCTTTGATATTTTTTGTTTGTGTGGGTTTGTGTGTGTGTGTGCGTGTATTAAAGCATTCCCTTCTGCAGGTTCTATGTCAAGACATCGTGTTGGCTTCCCCTTGAGATCAAGTTCAACCCTCTACCCTCCAAACAACTTGAAGACATCCTTTGGCTTCCCCGTAAGAAACAATCTTCAAATGGGTGACATCCAAACGCAGAAGACCTATCCCTGTCCGTGCCCGGCCGCCCAAGCCCAACCCAAACCAGCGCAAGCGACCCGGCCCTGAGCGCGAGGCGGGCGCAGGAGGCGGCGGAATTTCAGCAAGCGGCGGAGCGGCGGGCGGAGGTCGTGCGACAGCAGGCGGAGGCGAGCGGACTCGTCCACAAGGCACTGCTTTCTTCCATTTGCTTACGGTGCCATAAGAATTTGGTTTATTTTCCCCTGCTGGTTTTAAAGGGAGTCTATCACTCGACATATCTTGATGTTTGACTGGGAAGGAACTTGCAAATGGAGGCTTTGACTTCTGCAGTTGAACAGCCGGCATCAGTCGGCCTTGCAACAGAACCAACTCGCAGCAGTTGCTTTCTTCCGCAACTGTGCGCTAGATATACTAATTGGTTGTTTTGTCAATTCGATCGGCCATACATTACCCACTTATGTTTTTTTAGCACAGGGAGGAAAAAAGGGCTGCAACGTCCAGCGGGCTTCTCTCCCTGGGCTTCACCCCGAGGGTCCTTTCCAGACTTCCAACATTCGGAGTAACTTTTGTTTCTTGTGCTTTCTTGGGATCACCCTCTTTCCATTACAAACTGGCCAAGAAGAGGCGGCTGGCTTCTGAGTACTCGGGATTGGTTACCCTACCTGGGGAGTTGTTGCTTGTTTCAGGTGGAAGCTACGGATGGCACTCAATCCCCACAAATCCACTCCTCAAAAATCTCGAGTACTGCGCATGCAATTCAACCCCCCCCCCCAAATAGCTCCAAAATAGGACCCAAGGGAGTCATCAGGCGGAGCGCGGGCGCTTCGAGGAGCTCCTGGCGCAGGAGCGGCGCGAGAAAGAGGCGAGAAAGACGACGTCGCGTTAAGCGCGCGCATTGCGGGACCCGGGACCCGTGGAGCGCGACAAAGTTGTAAGGGGTTGGTTTTGTTAGGTGGGTTCATCTGGACTGGTTTTCTGGCTTCAAGAAAGTTGAGCCATGTTGATCCAAAGAAGGAACTTTTGAAGGTTCCTTCGGCCAATTGTGATTTATTCAACGCCCTGAGGGAACAGCCCTTTCGCAGCAGTTTTAATGAAGCTATAGGCCACTTAAAACAAACCAGCATCGTTCATCCAGAAGCCCGTAGGGTCAAGGAGTCTGTATGTGTGTGTGTGTGTGTGGGTGTGGGTGTGTGTGTGTGTGTGAGTGAGTGTGAGTGTGAGTGTGAGTGTGTGTGGGTGTGGGCGTGGGTGTGGGTGTGCGTGTGCGTGTGGGTGTGGGTGTGGGTGTGGGTCCCAGTGTGGGTGTGGGTGTGGGTGTGGGTGTGGGTATGGGTGTGGGTGGGTGTGGGTGGGTGTGGGTGGGTGTGGGTGGGTGTGGGTGGGTGTGGGTGGGTGTGGGTGGGTGTGGGTGGGTGTGGGTGGCTGGGTGGGTGGGTGGGTGGGTGGGTGGGTGGGTGGGTGGGTGGCTGGGTGGGTGGGTGGGTGGGTGGGTGGGTGGGTGGGTGGGTGGGTTGGGTGTCTGTGTGGGTTGTGTGTCTGTGTGAGTTGTGTGTCTGTGTGGGTTGTGTGTCTGTGTGGGTTGTGTGTCTGTGTGTGTCTGTGTGTGTCTGTGTGTGTCTGTGTGTGTGTCTGTCTGTGTGTCTGTGTGTGTCTGTCTGTGTGTCTGTGTGTGTCTGTCTGTGTGTCTGTTTGTGTGTCTGTCTGTGTGTCTGTTTGTGTGTCTGTCTGTGTGTCTGTTTGTGTGTCTGTCTGTGTGTCTGTCTGTGTGTCCGTCTGTGTGTCTGTGTGTGTGTGTCTGTGTGTGTGTGTGTGTCTGTTTGTGTGTGTGTCTGTGTGTCTGGGAAGGCATGCTGAACAAGGAAGCAACGAACAGAACACGCTCTTGGATTTTAGAAATGAACCGCCTGGGATGGTGCGGTTTGGGGGGGGCATTCCAACTGATTCCCTGCCAGAGAACCAGCAAGGTTCGGGGGTGGGGCGGGGCGGAGGCCAGGCCGATCCCGGATTGAAGCAATCCTGGGTCTTAGTCACGTGGGAGGTCCAGTCCAGTTCGGTATGTTTCCCTCAGGGTTGAACCATAATATGGAAATTAGCCGCAGGGGTAGTAACCCACGGAATCTTCTGGAACGATAGCGTCGAGAAGAAAAACATACCTGCATTGGAGTGTGATTTGCGGAATGTACGAAGCTTTTGTCGCCGCTCATATGTATGGGGAAAGAGGCATCCACCATTCATGGTGGACAATTAGAGAAAGATCGAGGGACGCTTTGGGATTGCAACTAAAGCACGCGCTCGTCTGACAAATTGTGCATTTGGGGACAAGAAACAGTTGTCAACAGGGTTGAAGGGGCCAACGGTTTTCAAAACCCTGCTTTGAGCTAGGGGGGCGAACAGTGGCGACCCGTCGCCGTGAAGATTTGTTTCCTTGGGAAAGGGATACTTCAGGGAGTTCACCGTAGATTGCCTTTTGATTTCTAGGGAGATCAGCTTGAAGTAATCAATCAACCGTGTCCTGTGACTGGAGAATAATATTTGTGAGGTTTGTCTGGAAGAGAGAGCCCTCGGAGAGCGAAGAGCTGACCAGACAGGTGCGAGGGGCTTTATGCCCGCAACGGGCCTTGTTTGGTGTTCGCGCAGCTTAAATGGCGAAGAGCCATGTCCACTTGGGGTGGCTGCCCCTAATGAGTACCCCATGTATCCATTTATGCGCGTACATATATGTTGTGAAATCGTATGGATGGGTGTGTATCAGGGCCGGCTGCAGGGTTGAGGCCGTCAAACAGTGGCTCGCTGTTGTTTGTCTTTAACCTTGTTCAAGGACAATTCCGCGTATTGTCCAGGTTGGTTGGGGCTGGGGATCCTCCGTCTCCAGAACTTCGCCTGGTCAAGTGTAACTAAGATCCCAAACTGAACCTCCCAACGTCTACCCCCCACTCCCCCACCACCCGCCAAACTCTCCCCCCCCCCAAAAAAAAACAACAAAAAGGACATGGAAGCCACCACCCCTCCAAACCGCCCTGACCCTGCCTTCCAAGGCGGCAGTGGCCGACTTGGAGCGCCGCATGCAGAACCTCCAGCAGAGCACCGAGCAGCGCGTGCAGCAGATGCAAACCGCCCTGCACGCCTCCCAGGCCGAGTGCCGACAGATGCATACAGATGCAAAGCGGAGGGGTGAGGGATTCCAACATTTCTCCGGGCAGTGTTGTGGCTTGGAAGTTGGTGGAGAATATGATGTTTGTTGGCAACGGCATGCTAGCCTCCTTTATATTTTGCCCAAGGAAATTCAGCTCAGCCCGATTTGGATACTTGCTTCTCGTGAAAGTCTTGGTGGGAACCATCCAACACTGATGCACAGCCATAGCAACGGAGTTATAGCAAGGTCAAGGCCGGATCTGGTTCCGGGCTTTATGAATAGCCCTTTCTAGTCACTGTGAGTCGCGAATAGTCACATTTTTCGGCTCCAATGGCTCTCCTGAGTCAGTATATCGCTCCACTCCGAGGGTGCAACATTGACTCCCGGGTCCACTTCACAAAAGACCCTGGGCGACTTTGGAAAAATGTTTGGCCAAGTGCCGGTTTCCTTCTGGAGGTGCAAGCTGGCCCAGACAAAAACGTTGAATCCAGCGGTGCCAACTGACCCGGAACCATTCTCCAGGCGGAGGCGGCTGCTGTGGTCGCTGAGTGCCGGCAGATCACCGCCGCGGCGCAGGTCCACGCGGAAAGCGCTTCGGGCAGCGAAAGCGCAGGGAATCGGCGGCTTGGGGATTGCTGGGTGGGCGTTTTTTCGGAAAATGGGACACCTCTGTCCTTGACAGTGAGGATCTTAGGGCCCAGTTGGGCATTGGTCAAGATTGGTTGAGTTGTTTGCGCGGGGAAGTGCTGGGAGTTTGGGCGAGTTGGGAGCTGGGCCGTTTCAATGCCTGACGTTTCCCGGAGGTTTTTGACACGTTTCACTTCAAGGGATCCAGAGGGGTCGCTTGCCCTTAGGCACGGCAAAACGGGCGGAAGCGGCTGCTGACGCCAGGACGCAGGCCCCGTGGAGTGTTCAGGGCCAGGGCATGCAACTTGCGACAGCACCTTCTCCGCCAGCCCAACAGGATAACAGGATACTCCCTTTTTGTAGACAAACAAGGTACAGCTCGACAGGATAATGCTCCCCCAACAACAACAAAAAGGAAAAGAAAGGAAAGCGTTATCAAGGCTAAGGCTGTGCCTATGTTGGAGCAATCCAAAGGGGTTGGGGACGGGGTAAGGGACGGGAGGGATTGTGTGCATTCTAGCAAGGTAGGTTTGCAACCACGAAGCCAGGAAGGCTCCTTTGGGAGGATGCCAACCATACTTCACATGGGTGCGCCTTTTACATGGGTTGCTGGTGTGGCATTCAAACCATCAGCCAAACCGTTGTATCTATATGTTCTCATGCGTGGCATGATAGTACTGGGTCCCTTGACAGACATTTTGGATAGTCAAGAACAGGGACCCTCAAAGGCTCTAGTTCAAGATATGCATATGCATGAATTGGCCGCCTTTTTGGGTGATGGCCCCATGAAACACCATCCCGTTGTGGGGTAGTGGGCGAGCTCACGGTTGGCCTGGAGCGCAGGCGGGCCAGGCCCAGCTTTGCGCGCAGCTGCAGCAGGCCCAGGATGTGCAGGATGCATGCCGCGCCGAGGCGCAGCAGAGGCGGGAAGTCGACCCACTTTTTCTGAGCTGGGTCTCGGGTCAGGCTTTGTCCGGGTGGAAGTCGATGCGTGGACCTGATAGAACAAGTCTGTAAGTGGCAGGGTACCTACTTTCAAGCTGGGTGGTTCAAAGCCTATCCTGAGAATCCGCACATTGGTAAGACTCAAAAGATATGCCGTCGCCTGGAGACGGTTTCTTTTTTTCGGATTGGTTGGCTAAGCGGATCTTGGCCTACTTTCTGGTCAGTAAGTGAGACGCCAATGTCCCGCCCAGGGTGGAGCAGGTGCAACTGGAGGCTGAGATCAAATTGGACCTCGCCACCCGCAACGGCCTTCTGGCAGCCCAAAGAGGCGCTCGGGCGGCCGACGCGCGCCTCAGCTCACGGATGGATGGGGATGGTGGTTGTCCGAGGAGCCATTCCCAGTGGTCAAAATGATCCAATGTGTCTATTCTGGGGCTGTACTCCTGTGGGCTGCAATGCAGTTTCAAGATGTGTGCATTTTCTTTGTTTGTCCGTTTGTTTTGTTTTCTGTTTGTGCGTTGTGCTGCGCATTGTGGTGTGCGTGTGTGCTGTCAGCAGTGTGTCGGTGCGTGCGTGGTGTGGGTGAGGGTTTGTTTCTGTACTATTCTGAAAATCCCCAGAAAACTCCAGACCATCCCATCGCATTTGCGCGGTCTGCGGTAAACAACCGGTTTGTGGGATCAAGGGGTTTATCCCCGCTTCTGCGTTACAAGGCAAATTTTCCCTTTACAGCGGGGCTTAGTCTTTGGGAAGCCCTTTTTGTTGTATCACAGAAGTGGTCGTCTCCCACTGCCCTGGCAAACAATGGATTTGGAAACAAACACATGAAATGCCGGGCCAGCTGATGTTGCACATACCCGGGCTACCTTCGTCGACTCAAAGGTTGACATGGGGCCCCGCTCTCCGAACAACACATTGGTCCCCTTGTTGTCCTACACACAAACAGACAGGCAGGCACGCAAGCAGCCAGGGAGGCAGACAGACAAAAACGGACAAACAAACAAACAAACAAAGAAGCAAGCAAGCAAACGAGCCAACAAGCAAGCAAGCAAACAAACAAGCAGGGAAACAAACACACACACACACACACACACAAAAACACACACACACACAAAAACACACACACACACACACACACACACACACACACACACACACACACACACACACACACACACACACACACACACACACACACACACACACACACACACACACACACACACACACACACACACACACACACACAAACACACACACACACACACACACACAAACACACACACACACACACACACACAAACACACACACACACACACACACACACACACACACACACACACACACACACACACACACACACACACACACACACACACACAACACAAACACAAACAAACACAAACACACAACACAAACACAAACACAAACACAAACACAAACACAAACACAAACACAAACACAAACACAAACACAAACACAGACACAAACACAAGCAGCACGAGCACGAGCAAACACAAGCAGCACAAGCACAAACACAAACACAAACACAAACACAAACACAAAGCACAAACACAAACACAGCAAGCACAACAGCACGAGCACGAGCACGAACACAAGCACGAGCACGAACACACGAGCACGAGCACGAGCACGAGCACGAGCACGAGCACGAGCACAGCAAACACAAACACAAACACAAACACAAACACAAACACAAACACAAACAACAACACACACAACACAAACACACACACACACAAACACACAAACACAAACACAAACACAAACACAAACAACACAAACACAAACACAAACACAAACACAAACACAAACACAAACACAAACACAAACACAAACACAAACACAAACACAAACACAAACACAAACACAAACACGCACGGACACACATGTATATATATATATACATAATATATATATATATACATAATGTCCAATGCGGATTAGTAAGCGGGAGTCCCCCCCCCTCAACGATGGGGGCATCGGGAATAGTATTTTGAGGTGAGTTTCCATTAGATTTAGTATTGGTAGACTTGAGTTTCCATTTGGTTTAGTATTGCTGGCGCTTCCGTTTGAGATTTGGAACTTTAGTATTGCTGGAGCTTCCTTTTGAGATTTGGAACTGAGTTTCCATTTGATTTAGTATTGCTGGAGCTTCCTTTTGAGATTTGGAACTGAGTTTGCATTTGATTTAGTATTGCTGGAGCTTCCTTTTCAGATTTGGAACTGGGTTTGCGATTGACTTTATTGTAAGGGCCCTTGGAATAAAGTCTTGGGCTTAAAATTTGGGGGCTTGAAGTACTACCCCCTTTGTGGGTTTGGTGCTGGGCAGTTTTTAAACAAGAGACATGTAAGAAAACTTGAGTTTGGGCAAGGTCTGCAGTTTGGATTTTGGGGAGAAAGCATGAAGCTTCACCAGCATCACCTGGGATTGAAGTTGGCTAGGTAGTTATCCAAGAGGTAACTGCATTTAGGAAGTTGCATTTTTCAGGGGGCACCATGCATCAAGACTTTATTACAGGGGCCCCTGGAATAAAGTCTTGGGCTTAAAATTTGGGGGCTTGAAGTACTACCCCCTTTGCGGGTTTGATGGTGGGCAGTTTTTAAAC